ACATAAAAGCAAAAAGAAAACATTTCGAGTTAATTAAGGCTTTTTCATTGGGTAGGGTACCATTTTAGTGCTTGGAATACCAAAAACCTGCTACCCCAACCAAATCTGTGGCCCCAACAATCTGGAGTTGCATTTTTCGCCAATTAGTTCAAAGGACACCGCATGTGATTGGAGCGCGATATCTATCAACGCATAGATTTACATTACTTTTGGTTCAAAAAAAAAAAGAGGAGATGCAATGATTTGATTCGCTCTTTTCACTATATAATAGATTTTTGAGCGTTCTAATCGTCCAAATCAAAAAGAGCCAAAACTTATGTGAACTCTTCGATATTCATGCTCCGAACTAACCCAGTTGGTTGTTTGGTGTGTTCTAGAAACCAACAAATTCGGGAACGGCTATTAGGACACATAAGTTTCTGGAACTTTTTACATAACATAGTTTAAAATAATATTGTATAAACACAGCCCAAATTCGGAGCCATGTGGTTGTTTCTGCGCTGTAAACAAGCAATTTGTTTGTTTGAGTCTTGGGTTTGAAATTCGCGCGCTTGTGAAAGAACACATTCAACTCGTAAAACCTGACATATTATCGCTTTTCTTCTTTGGCGCTTCCTCCAGGACCCCATAAAAACGATATTCCCGTTGCTTCTAACGTCAAAAACGAAGTCCAGTTTGACCCTAGACCATCTGTGCCGGGCCCCGACAAGAGTGAATAAAGATGAAGAACGGGCGATGAAGCTGTTTGAGTGAGTCAGAAAAGATTCAGTGCTCCGTCAATTTTCGAAATTTCTTCCGGTTGAGTGTAATATACAATTTCTTATTGTGCTAATAACGAATATTCCTAAAATACTCGTTGCTAATAGCCGCAATTCTAAAGAACAGAAAGCGTTTTGCAATCGCGATTATGACTAGGGTAGCAGTTGTCCGTACCAATGATATCAGAAGCGATGGTCATTCTTTTTTGGTTGATCTCAAAGTTCCTCTGTCCTCTAGGTTCTACTGTTGTTCTTTCTTTCGTTACTCAACATTATAAACTTGCAAAATCTGTGTTTTAAAGTTATGATCCTTTGCAACAAAGAAATTTGAATGCAGGAATTTCGTTATAATTAATCGAATTTCAAGACATGAAATTCATCTGTGCTGTTTACATTAAAGCGATTAACAAGCAGCTGAATGCATCGTTCTCCTGAAAACTTGCAATAATCTTCTCTTATACTATAAATTCGAAACCGAAAAAAATTGGCTGCTAGATTGGTTCGCTTCCATGTATGGCTATAACGTTGTATTACATATATGCCAGTTGTGGAATTTCCCCAAAATTTTGAGGCAAGAGGGATGGTTATGATGACGACGAGAGGGAGCAGAGGCCGAGAGCGCGAGGTTGACGTCAACGAGAAAATTGTAATTGCTGTGTGAAAAATGTGCACCCGCGCGCCAAATGTATTAAAATATGCGAGAGGTAATCACGACAAAAGTTTTCTTGTCTTTGACTGTTCTACGATGTACACGCACGATAAAAGCTCATTAAACTTCTACTCTGGAACACTGTCGCCGGAATTCTTGCTTTTTTACCTGTATAACTCTTTGAATTCACTTCACTCGTGAGGAGCGCATACATTCCAATCACGCAACTTTCGAAAAGAAATAGCACTGTTAATTCCACTCAACACATTTATGTCTCACACTGTACGCTGTATAACTTTTGTGTGCAAAGGTCGACCTGGACATCACATAAAACGAATGGTTTGAGTACGCATGCACAGTTTAAGAAAATCTCTTTGAAAAGTATAGAGTGAGCACGTTTTTAAGAAAGAACCATCCGTTTCTTTTTGGTCGGGCAAAATTTGAGAATTATTTAGAGCGCAATCGCTTTGCAAAAAATTCTTTTTCTTTTCGAAAAGGTAAGCGTGTGGGCAGACATGGTCTTGTAGGAGGGAGACGTACAGCGTTACGCAGAACAAAACGCTTTTGATCAAAGTATTATCCGTTTTTGGGCAAACTTAAGAAAATTGCCAAAATCGCTTTTGAGAGCAGCTGCTAGGCATACACCTGATAAAGTGAAGACTCAATTTAAAAATTTGTATGGGTTTAAAACAGCACTTATCTATGGATTTGCCCAACTCGCTTGCTAGCGACTCGTGGGATTTTAGAGGAGAGTGCTATGCTTCGAAATGCTTTTATATACAGCACTTTCCAGAAATAGTGTTTTTCTGTGCTCACACTCTGATCAACTCGTATCAAAGCACCAAGATTAAGTTTTCTAGAGAGATGCGTGCTTGATGCTCGAAAAAAAAACACCTGAAAAAAAACTTTGAGTTTCCTGATCAAACCTCAACCTGCTTAGAGTTAGCACCATCTTTGAAAACCGGCTTCTTACAGGAGGTAGGGTAAGTGGGCATCCCGGTTAATAATATATCTGCTGTCAAAATTACCGAATATCCTTTATCGAAAACATCAGTCATTTGCAAACTGTGCTAAAGCGCTGGGAACTGGTATGGAATAAAGCTGGTTCGAAGAGGTGGGAGGGGGGGGGATAAGAAAACATGCTGTTTAAAGATTTTTGTTTCCATTATTGTCGTTTTTCTCTACTGATTTCTGCAAGCTCTGGCGCTGGGACTTGGTACAGGAGTGACTGGGTACTCTCAATAAAATTACCCATTCGATAATGCAATTATTAATTTTTCGCAGAATTGTGGGGTGATGGGAGTTGATTAAAAAAGTGACGGGGGAAGAGTGAGCATGGTGATTCCGAACACGTGTAGGGACAGAATTGACATATAGAAGTGGGGAGCGATAGAAGAACCAAGCGATGCCGGGTATGCCAGCTAATCTCTAGCATGAAACTTTTATTGTGGTTTTGAAATGTGTGGGTGAACAAGATGATCGTAATCTTTCGACTCAAAGAACTATGCAGTAGCATATATACACTTGAGAAGATTTGAATTTCGCAAGCAATGAAAATGATTGTCCGACTGTATGTAAGGCGCTTAAGCTATTAGAAAAATCTGTATTATTAGCAATGTCACGTGTTGTTGACAATTCTGAAAACTGTAAGGTGGTGTTAACATATCAGTGACACCGCGCAAATTACGCGATTTGAACTGATTATGCGATAAAAAAAGAAACTTTTTAAGGTGGTGGAGTGAGGAGCAAGCATGACGAGGTGATAGAAGCTATACTAGATTTAGTCAAAAGTAATGAGAGCAAGTGCTCCATTCTAACTATCCATCCAACAAAGCAGATACTAATAATAGATATGATATATAATAGATATAATAATGTTATCGAGCTATTATTTATCATAGCTGCTGAAAAGTTCCCAAAGTTTTATACAAACGTTACTGATTTTTGTAGCTTTAGCCAATCGTCACAATTTTTGCTTCTTACTGCTTACTGCATCTTGCTTCTTCTTCTTAGCTGGACTTTCGATAACACGGTAAGACAAGCTATTTTCGGTGAAAAATCTAGTATGTGTTTCCTTTTTCAACCTAGTCAGAGGTCAAATCAATTTGGAAGCCTTCGGTCAAAGATTTGCATGAAGCAAAGATGCACCAAACCCTATAAAATCCTCAAGACTCAAAATTTAAGACTCGATTATCATTACAATTTGATTTTTCAATTCTGCTAAGCACTCTTAAATTTGAAGGTGAAAGGATTCGTGTGCGAGCGTCTGCTGTTATTCTAGCAATTTTTGCAAAGGTTCAGACACAAATTACAGTAACGGAAAGAGAAAAACCAGGTGCACTGTTTAAGACACTTGTTAATTAATCAGTATTATATCTGATCTGAGGATAGTTCCAACAAAATAAGTAAAGTTCTAGTTTTTTCAGATTACCGCGGCATATGTTTAAGCTAAAGAAGAAAACCAAATTCGTATCTCTATCTACACATCAGGGCGCTTGTTATCTAAATCGCACCCTTTTAGAGACTAAAACAATACATAATGCTAAAGGTCAAAAACATAATGGCCCGTAGTAAACTACCGTCAGGGCATCTCCCCTGAGGCGGACCGGAGTTGATATCTTGGCGCCTCAGTCCAGCATCCGGCGAGCTATTGATCTGGTGCAGATCGCTTTCTGGACATTGTAATCAAATGCGTTCTCGAAAAAGCAGCTACTTGGTTCGATTTGGTTAAATGGGTAAGGCATTGGAATTACACGCGCGCGGCCGTGGTTCGACTCCGCCTAGCGACGCAACTTTTGCTGCATCGCCGGGCAATCTTCGATAGCGGCCACTATCCAATCGATGATGACCGCTATCAAGGATTTCGCCTAGCAAACGCAAAGATGAAACAAAAAAAAACATTTCGTTACGAAAATTTTGCGACAAAGCGAAATGGTTGCAACGTGAATTCAATGAGATGAACAAATGAGTCTTCGTTTTGGATGGCTTCAAAAAAAAACCAGTAAAGTGTACAAAAAAGAGAAGAATTTGTTTTTTTTGTCTTCCTCGCCAAAATCAGCTGTTCATCGATCCTCTCCTTTTCGGGCGCGGTTGTGCAATTTTGCGCCGATTTTGTCTGCATTTTTAGGCAAAGTGGTGTGTATTGTAAGTTACTCAGGAGCAACTTACGACGATTTTCTCTGCGTTTCCTCTTAAGCACACTATTTCTGGACATCATCGCTCATATCATCTCCCATGACCCGGCAGGGGAGATCATCTCCCTGCCGAACTTCACCTGAGGCTCGTCTCTCAGGTGACCTTGCATCCCTATAGCATGGGGATATGGGCGGTCGTCATTTTACTGGCAAAACCTCACATGAAGGTCTCAGGGGAGATCATCTCCCATGATCGAGCTTTACTACGGGCCAATGACGCACAACCTTTTAGGCGATTAGCTGATGACAAATGGAGAATTTGTACAAAAGTCCCGGTGATCTATCCGAATTACTTTCTTATCAAATATGCGATGAAAGGATTGTATGTTCTTTAAACCTTAACAATAGCATAAAAGACACCTTTGATGCATTATCTCCCGCACATCCAAACATCAAGTAATGGTGAGTATTCTCCTGATTCTACATCTTTGCAAGAAGACTCTTTTTGAAGATGATTGTACCCTGCATCGTACTGGCAGCTGTGGGTGCCATGGCTGTCAAGGCCACCCCGTTTGGTAAGTATCTACAAGTGCGAAAATGTCATACAAATAAGGTCAATAAGCTGCATGGTGAAACTATTGCGCGTGTGCTAAAAGTCACTATGGATACCACTTTTTGAATTTTGCTAGCTTTTTTCTCAGCCAATTTATGCTCCCAAATTTACAGATGAACAAAACGAACAAGCGATCGAAGATTATTTGAACAGTGGTCATTTATTGTACGAGGTGGATTACTTTGGCGCGATAGTCATAACGGATGTCTTTCTCTCCTTTTTCGACTGAAACACGTTTGTTTGAGGTTGGAGCCCCTACAATGTCTTATAAGGATTTCCGATCCCGGCTCATGGATCCGAAATTGGATTCGGAACAGGATAATAATTCGCTGAGAAAGGCTCCGGCTAGGCTTATGGCACAAGATGATGATAATGATACCCTTGATATCCCAGAGAGGTAACTTTACAATAGGCTTGATGGCTGTTTTTATCGAGTATAAATGGAGACTGATTTAGCTTTGATGCGCGCAAAAAGTGGCCTGAGTGTCAGTCCATAAAGCTCGTTCGCAATCAGGGCAACTGCGGTGAGATGCATTGGAAAAAAGATACTTCCTGCCACAGAGTAACACTCGCACTTTAGGATCATGCTGGGCAGTCTCAGCAGCCTCGGTCATGTCAGATAGACTGTGTATTGCTTCCGGTGGAAAGATTCAAGTGAGTGCTTCAACATGATAGAAGTGATTTTGTATTTTGGATTGGATTTGACGATTTTGGACAACTGTTACAGACGATACTATCTTCTACCGACATCATATCTTGTTGTAATGAATGCCCCGCACTGCCGTGAGTCTCTATAAACTTGTTATCTGAAAGCAAAATATGGAACGATTTATTTGATTTATTGTCTTTGCCATATCTCGTTGAATGCGCATACTGCACTGTACAGAACTACCATGTTCTAGCTGTAACGGAGTAGGACTACACGATGCGTTCCTTCCGTGGAAATACATGAAGTCGAACGGAATTTGTTCTGGAGGACCGTATGGGGGAGAGGTGAGACAATTACGCTTATCGAGGCTCTTTTTACAGCGCTTGCATTTCAGAATGTGTGCAAACCGTATGTGTTCTACCCATGTGTGAGGTTGGAAAGAAACTAATGTCGTTTCTCTTTGTCATGGCATCGCAAAAATACAAAACATCAAAAGTGTATGGAACATTTGGTAGACCAAAGCAAGCTCTACAAGATGACATTACTGCTTTTGCACCAAGTTCAATCCTGTGAAGTTCGCATATGGGATCTAAAAAATTTGAAATGACCGAAAAATCGGAAAAAATCGTATCTCGGTCCGGAAAAAAATCTGCAGACCTTCAACTTCCTCACGGACATACATCCCTCATCAACATTCATGAATGCAGTTGCTGTAATTTTTCATTGGTTAGACATAAATTGAAATTTCTATAATTCTGCCAAAGTGATGCTGGGTTCTCGCATAAGTATTTCTATACTATACAGCCTGGGAAAAATAGAAGTAGATTTTCAGCCTTCTACAGGAGTTAGTTCTCATTCTTTTCTTTTCAACCTAATAATTACAGCCCAAAAGAGATAGACCAGTATGGACCATGCAATTACAATGAAACATCGCCAAAACCAATGTGCGAAAAAAGATGCAAGCGAGGTTATGGGAAGTCTTACAAAGACGATAAAGTATATGGTACGTTAACTCCTGCACTTCAGTTGTAATAATATCTTGAATGCTCTTATGGTAGGAGATTATCGTAAAATCGACGAGTTTGACAACATGGCAATCCAGAAGGAGATAATGGATAATGGACCTGTTCAATCCACTATAGTAATGTATGATAAATTTCGGGAATTTCAGGGACGCGGAATATATCACGTATGCTTTTGCAGTTCTCCGGCAGCAATTCTAAAACAATTTTGAGGAAGTGGGAGACAAAGATATTCCTGATTAGGGTAGATCGGCCACACCCCAAAATTGTTTTTGGCTGCTTTTCGGACTCGCGGAAGTTTAAATGATTGATTTAGCACAAACAAGATTTCCTCAACATGAAAGGATATCATGCCGTCAAGATCATTGGCTGGGGAGTAGAAGAAAGGGAAGCTAAAGATAAAAAATTTAAAGTGAAATACTGGCTGATTTCCAATTCGTGGGGCAGTGATTGGGGAGAAGGCGGTAAGCGTGAGCCTGTAGATATAATTCCATAATTCATCGAATTGCTAACATACAAACATGTTGTCTCTTCTCAGGATTCTTCCGCATTGTTCGTGAAATGGTCTCAAATGGTTGTGAAATTGAACGGCATGTCTATGCCGGTTATCCGATATTACAGTAAATCTTTCGCTTGACACAGTTTCAAATAAATCCTTCTCTATGCAAACTAATGGAAAAATTAGTAAAAGAACAATTTTTATCTCACAGTTTATAGCAAGTTTTTTGAGGAAAGCATTTGAACATCGTGTTTATTCGTCATAACTGCTGCAGTAAGATGTAGGACTGCCCATCGCAAATGTTATTGTCATGTACCAATTATATGCATATACAAATCTGTGTGTTAGTGAATTTGCGTGTTTGAGCAGAAAACTTCACAGAATTCAGGCAGGATGCATGTGTGCACTATGAGGCCGGGAACTGATATGGGCTGCGTTCCCCCTGCTTCATGTACATTGATCGTAATCTTTTCCAACATGCTTATAAGATTAAAAAACGTCTATTTGGTTGCACTTCATCGCTCAGTTCCTTGCACTTTTGTTGTGAGAATTCAAACTAATGAAGGTACGAGTCGTTCCAGGCTTGACACACGGCCCTTTCAAAACTATTTAACACGTTGACGACAGTGCCGCGCAATGGTGCGCGGCAGGCAGTCTGTCCCTGTGGACGACGCAGCGCAATGGGCGCGGCGGCCTTAATTTCAATACCATCTATCCGACCCTCTCAGTTTTTGTTCATATAATCAACATAGGCTCAGATGTAATTCATCTATTAGCCCCGCCCCTTTTAGCAGACTCCGCCCACTCCCATACCTCTCACACTGTGGCGTACCCAGGATTTCGGCTCGGGGGGGGGCGACAAAATTTTTTTTCTAATGAAGGTGCGTGGCGTCAGCCACGCACTCCGAAAATTTTTTTGGGATGTTTTCCAAAATTCTTCCGGGCCCCTGACCCCAAAATTCCAGAAAAAGGGGGCGTGGCGGCAGCCACGCCCCGAAAAAAAATTTTTATAAGGCTAATTTGAATTTTTAAAAATTTTTAAAAATTATTTTAATTATTCACAAATAAAAACGAGCCCTCTGGCACATTTTATAACACATTTAAGCAACTTTCAAAAATTTCGCGACCCGTTCTCGGGGGGGGGGGCGCGCCTACCCCGCCCCCCCCCCTCGGTACGCCACTGTCTCACAGGGACCCTTTTTGTTCATAAAAAGCATGGATGAGGCCGTAGATGAACGCAAAGACCTCAAACAACCTATGGCTAGGCTCCGCCCACCGTCGCGCAGACTCCGCCCCCTCGCAAATCGCATGAGTTCTTGAAATTTGGGCAACTTCCAACATTTTTGGCAGACTGGGCGGGGCTTGCCACATGGGGCGGGGCTTGCACATTTTACATTTCGTGCATGGATGCATGCATACATACATGCGGCCAGGCGTAGGGATGCACGGAACAGGGCCCGGCACGCGTTGGTTTGAAGCGTTTCCGGAAACGAAGTCCCCCATGACTTCGCGAAAATTTACGAAGTCCCTCTTGACGTAAAAATCAGAAGGAAAACCCTTAATTAGTCAAAATAACATTAAAAAAGCGAAAAAAGCGCATTTTGAGGTAACTAATACAACAAAAAAAGCAAAAAGAAAACATTTCGAGTTGATTAAAGGCTCTTTCATTGGGTAGTGTACCATTTTAGCGCTCAGAATGTCGAGAACCTCCTAGGCCAACCAAATCTGTGGCCTCAACAATCTGGCAGTGCGTTTTTCGCCGCATAGTTTAAAGGACACCGCGTGTGATTGGAGCGCAATATCAATCAAGGCGTATAGATTTGCACCACTTTTGGCTCAAAAGAAGAGGAGAGGCAATAGTTTGATTCGCTCTCTTCACTATATAATAGATTTTTGAGCGTTTTAATCGTCTAAATCAGAAAGGTCCAAAACTTATGTGAACTCTCCGAAATTTATGCTCCGAACCAACCCAGTTGGTTTGGTGGTTGGTCTAGAAACCAACATATCCGAAACGGGTATTCAGACACATAAGTTTTGGGAACTTTTTACATAACATAGTTTGGAGTAATATTGTATACTCATAGCCCAAATTCGGAGCCATGTGATTGTTTGTGCTCTGTAAACAAGCCATTTGTTTGTTTGAGTCTTGCATTTAAAATTCGCGGGCTTGCGAAAGAACACGTTCAACTCGTGAAACCTGACATGTTCGTCGTATTTTTTGGCGCTTCCTCCAGGACCTCATAAAAACGATGTCCCCGTTGCTTCTAACTCCAAAAACGAAGTCCAGTTTGACCCCAAACCATCGGTGCTGGGCCCTGGCACGGAAACGTCTTGTCCACAGGGACAGACCTCAAAAAAATGGCTCGTCGTCAACTGTTAAACAATGCCAAATTCAAGCAATTAACGTCGCGCGGGTTATGTCCAAAGTAGAGTTCTCAAAATGGCAATCATTTGTGAAGATGACAAGGGCTCTATGTGCGCATACTCGGAAAAGATGGTATTATCGAAGCATCTTTCGAAGCTGAACAAAACGCAGTTGGCACCTACAGTCTGCCTTAATCGGGATCAGGCCGGATTGTTGGCTGGATTTGCGCGCCCACAGCGCTAGGGGTTTGCGCTGCATACGCGCTCTGTCGCAGAGAGCGAAGAGATTAAAGAGAGAGCGGACTAGCTAGCCGTAGACGCGACGCAATATCCGCGCGGCACGCACTCGCACCAGCCAATTTTGGCCTGACTGGGATTGGGGCAGGGTGTACTACTATGCCTCTTTTAGCCTTTGCCAATAGTTTTTGACGCTTCTTCACATCGTAAAGAGAAACATTCTTTAAACGACGTGATGCATGAAGAAGAATCATTTGGCAACAAAATTCGTGATGTTTTGTTGAGTTGCTTTGTTGAGTTCTAGCTTCATTTTAATGTGTGATATAGAGGCTGCATCCACGCAAATTTACTTTTCAAACGAAGATATTCGCAGATTTCTGTAGCTAAAAAACGTCAATTTCCCATTAAGAAAGGAAAATTTGTCCTACTACACATTCAAAAGGATGCCCTTCGGGGTCAGAGCATCTCCAAGTTTTCGAACAGTGCTTACTATGATAGTTGGCTTGGCAAAACAGAATTTGCAGCAGAAATAGCCAAAAATCGGATGTCGACAAATCATGATATCAGCGACACGGCTGAAGAAGCCATGCAAAAATACTATGAATCCAAACAGCTATTTGCAAGACTAGGCACGGATTTGCGTGAATGGATCAAATTCAAAAGAAGCCCTATTACCAGAGTGTGACTAAATTAGAGCGCAACCCCAAGAAAGTGTTGAGGGTTAATTACGATTCTGTATCAGACGCATACACTGTGCGTACAAAATTCAAAAATATGGTTAAAGTAACGAAGAAAGACGTTGTTAGCCAAATAAACGCGGTTTTCGATCCAATCGGTCTAGCAGGACCAGTATTAGTCAAGCAGAAATCATTAATGAGAGAAGTCCTTGGATGTGGTGTGGAATTGGAAAACCACATTAAACGTATCCATTTGTCGTAAATGGAATACTGGAAACCATCGGTAACTTTTACCATTGAACTGAACATTTTTGGCAACAAAAGCTCACATACACAACTTTCACACCTCAATGACAACCACAGCACACATGTTCAATGTCACCGTCATTTCCATACAAACATCCGAATTGTTTGCAGCCAAAAGATTTGCGCTCTCAAATGACAATTGTTTCTCATAGCCGACACCTTCCGAATCCCCGTGGAATGCAGTAGCTATAAACGGGCTAGAAACGCTTTGGAAGTCGTTTGAGTACAATACGATGCGAATACAGTAACTCAGCAAGCAACTGTCTGGTCTAGATCACAACTCTCCTCTTTTAAGTAACGATAGCGACTTTTTTATGCCTGTGGAAACGCCACTTGCGAAGCTACACACCAACGTGACGAAATCATAGCGACTTTAAACGAAGAAGAGGTGGTGTTGAAATTGCAATCTCAAATTTTGGTAGAGTCTGTACAGTCAATGAGCAATCAGCATCGTGCATGCCTCAGACACCACAGGTTGCTGTAATTGCAAACATGGCGCAAAGGTGTCAATAAATTGTGCATCCCCATCAAAACCTCAATTGCAGCAATATGCAACAATCAGCAATTCACTTTCATCTGCACCGAAACAGCGTTTCTACACAAGTACTGCTAAACTTCGACAAATAAATAGTGAACGAAACCTGCAACGTAATTGCAGTGATCAGGTGACAAGATTTGACCTACGCGGCAACTCATACTACCTCATACATCTAACTCCTCAATATTTGACCAAAACTCCCACACAGGGCTTAGCAGAGGTGGCGCTTTCACAGGTTGGATGCCGTTTTTCCAGAGGAAAGCAAAAGGGAACTCGTAAAGTTTCCAGGGTGTTTCCCGGAAATCTAGTACAATGTTAGCAAGCACAAAGCTAACCATTAGTAAGCCCTTATTTCAACTCCGACGTCGTTTCACCAGTAGCAGGTAGACTGACACGTTAGAAACATGACAAGCGCTTAGTGCACACGATTTCAACGTGTTAAAACAAAAATCTTTATGCACAATTAAACAAATAATCAGTCCGTTTACAACCGGTAAGCAATATTGAGCCAAATTTGGTGTGTACCTCCGCAGCGACGATCAAGAGGAAAGTATGAAAAATTATGAAAAATTATGTGAATGGAAGGAGCTATGTGTTTTTCCAAATTAGGTTGCTCCCGCGCAACCTGGGAGCACCCTGAGGTTGCGCGGAACTAAACAAAGTCATAATTTTCTTCCTTTTCCACATAGTCTTTTAAGTTTCCAACATAAGTTTATTCTTCAGTTCAAACTCTATCTATGAATACTTACCATCACCCAAATTTCGTCTTCTCTGTTTTGCTACGGCCTTTTAATTATTTGAAAACCGCCTTTTCACGTGTAGCTCTTTTATCTCCGAGTTTCCTTGCTTATTTTTAACTTCCGCTAACTCATTGTTTGCTGTAGATTATTAGCGGTGCTTCTCAAATACCACAAAAGGTATTTCGTAATCTCGTGTAATGCCAAAGCGGATTTCGCCTTCAAAATTCTCAAATGCCACCTCCAGCTGGGCCCTGCTCCTCCCG